ATTCCAACCTCCCATAACTTAAAGAAATAGGGACGGTTTGGCAGAAGTGTTCTTGTAAAAAAGAAATCTAATAGTTTTTAGGTGATAGTGAATAGAACTGAAGTGAATTTGAGAGTTACAGTGCACAGGCTACGTGATCAAGTATTGTGATTGCGCTAAGAATATTCCGATTAGCAAGAGAAAATTACACACAAAAAAAATAATGTAAAGAAATACGTAGATATGTTGAGAATGTAATGTCACGACGGAAGAGGAATGTAGTAGGAGCTTGTATCGACGCAATGTTTTATGGCTTGTCCGGTTCATTGAAAGTGTAGATAAGATCCCTTCCGTGGATGTTGGAGATGCAAGAGCGGAGTAAGTACGAGGATCTGCGTAGATGGAAGTTTAGTATATAGGGATGTGTCATAGAGAGCTGTGCATTCGGGATCGTGTGGTTGGGCGTCTGAGAGCAGGTATAAGCGTGACAAAAGGTCGAGAATGGAGATTGAAAGAAAAATGCAATTAATATTGATTAAAAAATAATATTAATATTCCATAAGATATATTAATTAAAAAATTAAACAAAAAGGAGCACATCCTATGCCATACGTAAACAATAGGGACATTGTACCAGAAAATGGAATTATACCAAGGAATAATTAAATTAATTAATTATGGTCCTACTTAGAATAGAGGCATGCTACTTTACAATTAACTCACAACCTTTAGATATGATATAATATTATAACCACTGACATTAATTATTTCTCCTTGCATGTTGATAAGGAATAATCATAATGTTCTATACTTCTATCCACTTTTTGACGTAGACGTCCTTAATTATAAATTATCTATATTGATGGTTGGCTCATATAATTACTGTTTATTACGTACTATTAATTAATATTTATTATTATTATTATTATTATTATTATTATTGTTATTATTATTTTATTATTTTATCAATGTTTTTAGGAGTCTTTCATTATTATTATTATTATTAATTATTATTATTATTATTATTATTAATTATTTATTATTATTATTATTATTATCAATGTTTTTAGGAGTCTTCATTATTATTAATGTTATTATTATTATAAATGGGATTAAACAGTTTAATTCAGTTGAACTTTTGAAAAAAGAAATAAAAATTTGGTTTGTAATTTTTATGAAAAATAATTTATTGTTTGATTTCAATTTTTTTTTAATAAGTGTAATAATACTATATTTACAAAGTAAACTTATTTGTTTCAATTCATTTTAAAAATCAAATTAAACCATATCATTTCAATTTAATTTAGTTCAATTTTTATATTTAAAATTACTAGTTTATACTTAGTCGATGATTGATTTCTGCTTGAAAAGACTGTCATAATTTTTTATTACTTTGTTCTTATTTTTTCAGTGATAATACCCTCATTTGTACCAAGTAACTTTATGAAATTATTTATAATACACCAAATATAAGTGAGTCATTGTCATTCTTCTAATTCAATTTGAAAAAAAAAATTATTAAATTTTCTAAACATTATTTAGGGTTAATTTGGTTTCAACTTTTTTTCAAATCACTCAAAATCCAAAATTATAAATCCCTGGTTGCTTTAGCTTTAAAGATTCATATAGGGTTTCTTTTTTACTTTACTTTTTTCTCTTTTACCTATATAGGTAAAACACGGGCTCTAAAAGGATTGATCACGTATATTAAAGAACGGGAGATTTATAGATTTCCTCCAGCTGTACTTTTATTATCATGTCATGGATTGAGGACTGTAACGCAATGAATCTGTAGAAAAGGGTAGAATCTCCCATCAGTGCTCGAGAGATCGTGCACAAGATTTTGTCATGTGAATGCTAAAACACTTGAAAAGAAATGGAGTGATAGAAAGTTTCTTTTATATGCCTGAATTTATACACCGCACTCCATTCACATTCACATTTATTCCATTAGATTTTCTAATGAATTTTTCAAATATTATACCTGAAAATGCCGATTCATTAACTGATAAGATAATGAATTATTTTTTTAGCTGTTATTTTATATTTCAACAATAATAATGCACAATTTTACCCTGAAAAAATTAACATCCTCAGATATTACTAGTATGAACAAGTAAATTAAACAAGGTTTTACAACTTTAAGTTGAACTTAGTAAATATGTAGTGTTTGGTAATTAGAAGGAAGAACAAAAATATCTTTATGAAATTATAAAAGACAAATGATATTACGTCAAACAAAAAACAAAAAAAAAAAAAAAAAAAAAAAAAAAAAAACAGTGGGACATGCGGCAAAATGTGGTCAATCGCACGACCTCGCTACTATTTTATGGAGAAAAGCCTCAAGCCGTAATTGACACAGGAATGAATTGCTCAGTTTAACGGTTTTGTTTTTTAGTCCATTAGTAGTTGATTTGGGATAAAATGGATAATTAAAGTTCTAGATATTTTTTTCTATCAAATTAAAGTTTTTTTTATTAGATAAATGTCTAAAAGTTCCCTCAACAAATTTAATAACGGCGATATTTTGCCTGCAATACATACTTCGAAAGCATTTTAGAGGATATTTGTCACCTCTATGATGAAGTTGTGCAAAAAAAAAAAAAAAAAAAAAAAAAAAAAAAAAAAAAAAAACAGTGGGAATGCACAAAATGTGGTCAATCACGACTCTACTTTTATGGAAAAAGCTAAAGCCTAATTACAAGGAATGAATTGCCTCAGTTACGGTTTGTTTTTAGTCATTAGTTAGTTGATTTGGGATAAAATTGGATAATAACAGTTATAAGTATTTTTTTTCTATCAAAATTAAATTTTTTTTATTAGATAAAATGTCTAAAGTATCCTCAACAAATTAATACGGCAGATTTTGCCTGCAATATACCTTGAAAGCATTTTAGATATTTTCACCTCTATAATGAAGTTGTGCCAATTATACAATTATATTTTTCATACTTATTTTATAGCTATATTTGTGGTGTTTGCGGATAAATTTTACATATTCAGACTAAATTATTTATCGAGTGATCTTAACTATACACTGCTCATATTAACTTTTATTTCTATATTTGTTTTGGTGTAAACTCCGAACCTATTACCGGGACCGTCTAATCCTATTTAGAGCATAGTCACAGTTAAAGCTCATCGCTCTTTCTTACGAGAGTAATTAGTGAAATCAAAAAGTTCTTCATATATATATCCAGCCTACATTACCAATTGAGCCACTATTGGTAGGCTTTCATTTCTATATTTGTTGTTGTATGTATGAGCTAAAACCATAAAATTAATATAGATATATAGTTTGAATTTTCAAAGCTCAAAGCATGATAATTGACAAAGGTTTAGCATACAACTAAATCTTCGTCGAATAAACTAAGCTGAATTCTTTTCTCTTAATTCCACGTAACTAAAAACATGTAAACACAAAATGAGAAAAATAAAAACAAACTAGAAGCTATAATTTAAGATATCATTTCCAAAATTGATAGCAGAAATTTAATTAAAATATTAGTTTCTTCTTTATTTTTCAATTTGAGTCCAATTTTAAATTTTATTAATTATAACTTGAAAGAATTATATTTGTAGCTAAATCAAACCTAAGGCGACATTTGATTCAATATAATCAACTATGTTACGTAATGAAATGAAAATTACATTACATAATTAATTGCGATATTGCAATATTTTAATGGATTTATTTCTTACTCCGTAAAGTAATGAGTGTTATAATTGTATTATCATTATTTAAAATAATGTAATAGTTATTCTAATCTAAAAATCTATATAATTATTATTCCATTACAATCTCTTAAAAACTCAAATCCTAACCAAATTCAATCTTAAAATCTACCATTTGCTACGTCCTCCTCTACCACCACCACCACATCATTATTAATAAAAAAGAATATTTAAACCAAAAACTATTATTATATCAAACTACTAAAAATCATTTAGATTTATAAATTTATTTGGACAAAACAATTAAAAAAAATAAGCAAAAAAAAAAATTGTGATGTGATAAAATAAAAGTTAAAGTTATCGGAAACAAACTTTTTTACACATAATTTCGTATATTTTTACTGAATAAATTAAATTGTAATATAAAATTAATGGTATTTCGATCCTTTTTGGTGATTTTTCATTTCATTCTTCCCATTTCTACAACAAAATAAAAGAATAACATAGAATGGCGTTGGAGGCCGGCGACAACGATGGTCGTGGGTTGATGGTTGAGATGGTAATTGCGGTGTACTAATTACATTATATATTTATAAACAAATATAAAAATGAATGATGATAATATTTCATAATTTAATTCAATTGTATGACCAAACTTAGTAGTGAAATATTAATTATATTCCATTAGAATATATTTTTCTATCATATTACATTTTTACTTACGATACATTACATTACATCTAACTAAATACAGATTAAGTTTATTAACATATCCTTTAATTAATCTTTACAATATAATACAATACAATTTTCATTGCATTACATTTTTAATTACATTATATTGCATTACATCCAACCAAACACACCCTAAATTTATTAACATATCCTTTAATCTTTACCTTCATCAAGATAGTAAAATAGAGGAAACGTATTTTATTTTTTGAACATTTGCTAGTATTGGCCTCTTAATGAAAAAAAATATTATTTTTGTGCTTTATAATTAATTCACAACTACACCAAAACTTCGAATAGTTGTTTTCACGAACCCAATTCAGCCATTAATTTTTTATAAATGCAAGAAAACAACAATAATTGTTGCAAATTCTATGACTTCTCAATATCTACATGCAACCATACCCATGATTGGTACACACAATGATTTGCCAATAATCAATAAGAGGCTAAGTTTAAAAAATAAAATAAAATAAAATAAAAAAAGAAAAAAAGGAAAAAGACAATAACAAGGAGCTTGGCTCAACATACACAACCAGAAATAAACAAGCATCACCGATCATAATTGGCCCATATATATAAACAAAAATTAAATGTAAAAAAAAAAAAAAAAATTGCACCAAACAATCATAATGCCATAATTCAAATAAAGCAAAAAGTTCATACACACATAGAGATAAATATTGCTCCATCCATCTATGATCTATCTCATTCCCAGGAGATGTGGTTGGTTGCTTAAAAAAGATACTACCCACTCTCAAGTCTCCCCTACCACTACAATAATCTATTTTTGAAAAAAAAAAAAAAAGGAGAGAAAAAATTAATAAATAAATAAAAGACCAAAGGTCAGACAAAGAACTTTGGTTATACTTACACATTTGGATATCATAAGAAAGTAGCTAGCCCACTAACACCCCCACTCAAGTTTCTTGAGAGAAAGGTTGAAAATGACCAAGCAAAGAGAGAGAGAAAGAGAGAAGACAATAACGATAACAATAATGATACAAAAGAAAATGGAAAACGGGAGAAAAATATGGAAAGAGTTGTTTCCCCAAACTCTAAAATCTTAAATATTGACATGAAAAAGATTCACACCTGATACTACTTTGGTTTTGACTCTTGAAAAGAGCTTGTTTTTTTTTTTCTTTGTTTCTTGGTTACTTGCCATTGTAGAAAGGTGTAGTGGTCACCACAATGCCTGTCCTCTGCTAGGCAAAGTATCCCACTAAGATCTTCCACCCTTTTATGCCACTTATCTTGTTCTCTCAATTTCTTCCTCCTGTTTTTCTTTGCTATTTCTTCACTTTCAAAAGTAAAAGCTGCTATTATATTACCTTTTTTTTTTCCCTTCCTTTTCTTCTTTCTCTTCAATATATATATATATATATTTAACCTGCATATTTCAGACACATAATTTTATTAAAAAAAAAACCAAAATCATATGTGATTAATACATAAGATTAAACAGAGATTTAAAAAAATATGAAGTGCATTTATTTATAAAGGGAGGGCTATTCCTGTTAGTGTATTTTGATTCATTGTACTAAAAAAAAGCACAAACCTCGAGATATTTCATTATCCAATGCCAAATCTTTTGACCATAAGTTTTCAAACATGTGAATAACCTCAGGTATCTTTCTCCTTTGGGGGGTTTAACAAGGAATTCAATGGGCTTAGTTTATTCACTCATCATACTCAATGATAATAATAAAATTTTATTTCAGAGTATGACACTAGCTTTTTAGATGACCTAACCTTATTATTAAAATTAAAACACTAATTTTATTATTATTATTATTATTATTATTATTTGGATTTGGATGGGAATGAGTCCTAATGTACAATACACTTTACACTTTAAAAAAAAATGCTAAAAATGTTTTATAATGAATCACACAAAGCACATGATTAGAGCATATCCCAATCAAAGAATATTTTGATGCAAATACTCTAATCCTTATCGTGACATATGGCTAAATGCTAAAGATTGCTTGTTACTACCAAAAATAATGAAGTAGCTGAAGAATTTCCTCCAATGTAAGCAACAATATAATTTTTAAAAGTAGAGAGTAGCACATCAATACAGCAATGTATTGTATACTTAAATGCTTCAAGGAGAGCAGAAAGATATAAAGGGGACTTGAAGAAATAGAAAAAAAAAAGAGGAAGAAGAAGAAGAAGATACAAAAGCCTACTTATTTTTATGAACTTAGAATTGTCCCCCATGTAAATAATTTTATAAAAAGCAATATGTGTGAAGAGAAATGATATTGAAATGTCAACATGTGAGCATGTAAGGGTATATGTATAATTTATAGTTTAATAGGTTATGGGTGTTAAATAAGACACTTGGAAGGGAAAGAATTTAGCTTCATCCTAACAGTCAAACCAAATAAGGTCACAAGAGAACGCCTTTTTATGTACACTACAGATTATGTCTTTGGCCTTTTTAGGGCACCCCTCAAATTATTTAGTTTCATTTCAATATCTAAATCACTAAAAAGTTAAAATGAAACAAAAGCATATTCCATAAAATGACCAATATGTCCCTACTTCGTTCGAAGAATCAGTGTCGGTGGACGACAACAATAGGGTCAATCTTCCCCACACCATCCTATGTGTATAGTGCTTGTTTCTTGCACCTCCCAAGAATTTTCTGTTCAACAAGAACAAGAACGGCAACAACATCACCGGTTTTATGGGGTTAATTTGGCCCTTTGAATCTAAGAAAGTGACAATACTCTGTTCAGGAGGACAAAACTAAATGACAAATTCTATCGCCTTATACATTTATACCTCTACATTCAAAGTTTAGAGAAAAAAGTAATGATAGTTACAGGCTATGTTGCACCAAAATGAAAATGAAAAACAGTAAAAACATGAAAATAATAGGGGGAAATGAACTTTAAAATTTTATACGAAAAAACAGTATTTTATAAAACAAAACGGATAAAAAAACGTTTCTCAAACGCAAAAACATCCATCTTCAGGAGTTTTTATGTATAATAGTTTAGCGGAGTTTTGATAAATGATGTGTCATATGTAACTCAAGAAGTTACATTTATGTTTCTGTATTTTTTAAAAAACAGTAGGGAGGGAAATTTAATATTGATGACATTTAAATCTAAGCATTCACTTTTTTTTTATTATATTCGCGAGTATTCCTGTGCCCTTTTTTATTTAGTAACAGATGGTATCAAAGGACAGTGACATTTTATTCTTGGAGAAGGCAAATTTAGATCCCATATAATGATCAAATTGGTCTCTAGGTAGCAGCTTCCATTATTATTATATGTTCAGAAAATTAAAATTAGGGTTTTTGCATATATACATATAGCTTAAGCTTTACAAGGAAGAAAATGTTATGGAGCTTTTAAAATTTTGAAATCAACCCAATGAATAATAGTCTTTTGTTACTAAATTATACAACAAAAGCTTCCCCACTTGATTATTTCCACAAAAGGTTCCACTATGATGCTATCTTTAGACAGGAAGTATAATGCATTTAATTATAAGTGTATGTATATAAATAAAATAATATATACTTAAAGATAAAGGAATAAAAAGCTTACCCCTTTGTTTCTGTTTGGGGTTGGTTCTAAATAACAGTTGAAAGTAGAATCTTAGGTGGGTTTTGAGGCAGCTTGCTTGAAGGCCACAGTGGGAGCAATTCTGCAGCTCCTCCTCTGATGTTCAAGAACAAGTTCAGCAGCAAACCAATCCAATTTCTCAAAATTACTTTGCTCTCCAATTCTTTTACCCCCAAACAGAACTGACTCAACATTTTTCTGCTTCAACATTTCTTCTGCTATGGCAATCAACATCTTGACATTGTTAGGACCAGGGTCTGTGTCAACATTGGGCCCACACCTCCCTAAACTTGACCCATTTGCCTGTCACACCAAATTCAATTCGAACAATGAGCTTTTGTACTACACAAGACCATCCCTTTAGTAATCTTTAAAACACTGTCAAGCTCCAGAACCTAGTCAATTAGCCAAATCCACTCATTTTTTTACCCTACACCGTGAATCTCATTAATCCCCGCTTGCCCTCTAGGCAATGAGATTGGCCCCAGAGAGTTTGGTCACGAAAGATCGAACCAATGAAATAAATCATGGTAATCAACCCCGCGAGCGTTTTTTGTCATTAAACTACACTATTCATATTTTTTATTAGCATAATTTATCAGCACATAAAAAAAAAAATAGAATAGAAAAATTAGGTTAAAAAATTTGCCTGAAAAATATTTACCTTAAAAAATTGAGAGGACAAAAAATTCAGAATTAACTTTCCCTCCCTTATTAGTAAGATTCAGAAACCATGTCATACCTATAATTAAACCTAATAATAAAAGCCACGATCTAATTATGGGAAAGCCTATTTGCCCTTTAACTAATATATGAACAAAAATTATTACATACCTTTCACTCTACATACAAATCTATCACCAGGTGATCTGTAACCATTTCTTATCTATTTTAAGCTTAAAAAAAAAAAAAGGAAAAAAGAAAGATAGGAGAAGAAACACACAGAACCCTTTTTTTTTTTTTTTTTAACAATATATTCTTATTCTCTTTTAAGCTTAAAAAAACAAAAAAGGAAAAAAGAAGATAGTAAGAAGAAAACACACGCAACCCCCTTTTTTTTTTTTTTTTGCCTTTTTTCTAATTACTCAACTAGCAAATATTGGCATAAAAATGTATAAGGTTACTTGCTATTCATATTTTGGTTCTTAACTTGGAAGAAAAATTCAATTCTTGGGTTAGAAAAATAACCCAGCTACCAACTTCTGTATTTTTGAAAAAGGAAGTATAGAAAAAACGTTTATCAAAAGCTTTTATTTGCAACAATTTGACTAAAGAAACAATTTAACTGAAACTTCATATTGTCATTTAACTCTTTATTAACTGATATATATATATATATATATATATATATAATTATATATATAATATATTGTAGTAAGCCGTAAATATAATCAAATGCACCATTATATTAGAAAAATATTTATTAACTGACTCATCCAAAATAAAGTTAGTTGAGAAAGCTAAAAATTTTCAAACTTTTACATAACCAATGATTTTTCTCAAGCGATTAAAAAAACCACAGCCTAAAATCCAAACATCCGCCTAAATAACATATATATTGTAGTAAGCCGTAATATAATCAAATGCACATTATATTAGAAAAATATTTAATTACTGACTCATCAAATAAAGTTATGTTGAGAAAAGCTAAAATTTTCAACTTTACAAACCATGATTTTTCTCAAGCGATTAAAAAACAGCCTAAATCCAAACATCCGCCTAATACATAGATTTGTCTTTTAGGAAGACTAATTATGATCTTACACTTTAACATTTTATTTTGGCGAAGACATTGTTATTAGTAAAATATAAAAGTGTAGGGTTCCTCTGCAATTTTAAGGGTGACACAAGACAAATTAAAGCAACAAAAAGACCACCTCAAAGACAGGGCAGGTCCCCAATTGGTGTCTTGAATTCATGGTTACCCTTACCCATGTATGTATCCCATACTACTACATGTCGGCTAATACAAGCCATAAAATTTACTTGCACCGATGACCCCATAAAATTACGCTATGCCAAAAAAAATTGAATGCCATAACCCCAAAATCCCATCTAAATATCATAATCCATATCTCAATTCATAACATCTATACCTGAAAAAGACAATTGTCTTAACCCTTTCACCAGCCTGGCTAGAACTGTCTCATCTACGCTAGAACTAGAAAAACAGACCATACCCAACTTGTACAAAATTAAATCTTGTAGAATTGTAATTTCTTATTGCTAAATCATCATAAAATAAAAAAAGAACATCGAACAAGTTGTGCAAGGACCATACCTGAATTCTTACGTAGTTACTGCTCTTACACTGACCAAATGCCATGGCTACGGCTTGGTCCACCGAATCGGCTGAACCGTCTTCTGTAATTCGAGCCATGGGTCGAGCCCAGTGTTTGGCCCTCCAGTGTTTAACCTCTTCGAAATCGTATTTGACCTCAAGAAGCTGACCTGTTCCTAAAGACAACACCAACAAATCTTCGACTCCTCTCACAAATGGAAATTCTTGCTTGTTATGGAGCACGTGCGTAATTGCGGCGGCCGTTGGGTTGCTCATGGCCAAACCGCCGTCAACCGCTAAACATTTGGTCTGACCATCGATGGATCGCATTTGAACCGGTTCGAATAAACCCGGTTCAGCAGATGTAGCACGGCAGACTTCCCATAGCCGGAAATCAAAACTATCGGTTTCCAATGCATCGGCTCTTGAGAACAGAAACGGTGCCGTGCTTGAAAGATCGTAGCATGGGATTAAAACCGGTTTTAACGTATCTTTAAGCGTTAAGCTCCGGCCTTTCTCCGAGAACGTCTCTTTCATCACATTATCCAAACTGGATGTGGCGGCCGCCGTACCAGAACCACCTCTAAATAACCGTTTAAAAACACCACCGCTGCTACCACGCCCACTTCCATTCCCTCCTCCACTGCCATTACCAAAAGGGTAAAATTTCTTACCATGATCAGCTAGAAACTGCCACGTATCCTCCGCCTTCATAATCGGACGGTTATGATCTTTACTACCCAAAAGCATGGCCGTGATAATTCCACCAATACCGGTCCCAGCCGCGACGTCGAAATAATCGGCGATTCTAGCGTCAGGATTGCCGGATTTAGTTTGAAGCACGTGTTCTAAATAGGCTAATGCTTTGCCGGCAAGAATCCCTCTCATGCCTCCGCCGTCGATGGAGAGTATACAGATTTTTCCACGCTGGTTCTTGATTGCAGAAACGCCATTAGTATCGGCGGCTACAGGTGGTGATACAAAAGGCTCGAGTTTTGCTGGCTCTGTTGGTGGAGGAGAGATCTGTTTGGGGATCCAGAGCTTCTGATCATCGTAGCCAAACAGAAATTTGCTTTCAAGAATTGAAAAAATTTCATAACTAAGCTTGTCGGTGTCGATGCTGGGTTCTTGCATTTCTAAAGATTGGTTCCTCTCCATTTTTAACAAAACGAAAAAACAAAAGAACTGCTGCTTTTGTTTGTTTGGAGATAACAAACGAGTTCAATAATCAAACTTATGCTTGTTTAAGAATTTATTGCATGCTAATTCTCGTTTAAATGGAAAGTTATCTCTTATATTAATTTGACAAAGGAAGAAAAAGGAAAAAAAAAATCCTCTCCTTATCTTTTTCTTGGATTACCTTGACATTAACGCCCCAGAATTTCAAATTCTTGCCATATACTTTTCTCCTCTGGTATTCAAGAATTGAAGAAAATACACGTTGTCCAGTTATAAGCTACCAAAGAAAAAAGATCGCATAAGTTAGCTCCCACTTCCCATAATCAAGAAACAAGACAAATTAACTTGAGTTGAAGCTCTGGATAGCCAATCATTCTTTATAACAATAAAAGAAGAGAAAGAAAGAAAGAAAGCCCAAACCCTCCCTTCAAAAACCCTTTTTGGCTTTTGCCCAATCTATGCCTCTCCTTCTCTCTCTCTTCCTCTTTGGACAGGGCGTATAATCTTTTAACAGAGCACGCTAAATGATATATTGTGCATTAAAAGGTTAAACCACCAATTGACAAAGCAGTATCGATTGGCTGATGGCTAAGCTAGCAGCTAGCCGGTATATGCTAATATAAACTATTGACAAAAAACAAAACAGAAAAGAAGCCAAAGGAGAATTAGAGAGAGAGAAGAAGAAGAAGAAGAAGGGTATTGGAGGCAAGAACAGAGCAATTGCAGAGCATGTCTGTTTATGGCCTTTTAAACCCACAATACCATTTTCAACCCTCTCTCTCTCTCTCTTTCTCTTTCTTTCTTTCTCTTTCTTGGGTAATTTGTTTCTGTCTTTCTCTTTCTATCTCTTAATCTTTGTATGTGGCCACCTCAACTCTATACTTATATTATATAATTTGTACGGTCTCTGAGTAATTAACCCCTGAGCTGGTTCATTTATTTATTTATTTGGTTTAATTTGTATATTTGGGGTCTGACCAATCGGTCACCGACGGTTGTACTTGCTTGATGGTGTCATTTCCGGTCAGGAATCCAACGGTTAAGATATGTTCTCACTGTTTGTCCGTGATCAACGGTCAAATAAGAGTATATTATTATTTTATTAGTTTATTTATCCAATTTTCCTGCTTCCCGCCCTTGTCGTTACCGCGTAGGGTCCAGCGACATCTCCGTCGGCAAAAGAATGGGGACGCACTAATTTCATTTGCTGTTGGTTTTTATTTTAAGTTAGAGACCTTGGTACGAAGAAGTCTAAGCTAGAGACCTAATTAAGTCGTTTTTTTTGTTCGTTTATGTAAAAAAGGTGTCCAAACTCAGTGGATTAAACCTAATCTTATTCACGTCACGTTAGACTTGTCAAAGAAAAACACTCTCAGCGCAAATTTTCTCCATTTATAACTACCGAATGCTCGATATCTTATTTAAAAAATTTGAATTATTTCAACTCAAATAAACCTCAATTAGTTTCAGTTAAGTGGTTTTTACTAAGATTATTTATTATTATCGACATTTTAAAAATAAATTATTCTACTCTAAATTTTTTTTATTTTATATTTAGGTAAACCTATTATAATAGTAGTAGTGATGTTGTAAGTAAAGTTTATTGAGGAATTTTTGTCAAAAAAAGTTTATTGAGGAATGCTTGTTTCTTTTGTTTTTAATTATATTTAGTTTTCAATTTTTTAAAATACCACATCATTAAAAAAATAATTAATTTTTATTATTTGATAAAGTATTAGAGTCAGATATAATTCAGTTAATTATATTTATATTAAAAAAACAAAAACTATAACTGTTTGAATGTTTTGTGTTGTTTAAATTAATAATCCTAAGATGAAAGTTGGTCTAACCTAACTGTAAATAGATAACGTACATTACCTGTATTTGTTGGCAATGTGGCGAAGACTTAGAGGGTGCCGGGGTGGGTCGGTCAAAAAATGAAAAGTGAAATTGAAAAGTAACTGTAAATTACATTAAAATATGTTTTAAAAAAAAAAAAAAAACGCATAACACCAAAGGAGTTGACTCCTGACTCATGACTATTAGCAGCTAATCATGACCATTTTGTGTCGTTAATTTTTTTTTTTCTATTAATGCAAAGGGTATTAATCAAACCAATGAGCCATGGAAAATCAATCAAAATAAATTTGATTTTAAAAATATGGATTAAAAAAAAAATTAACTTGTAAACGTATAATTTATTTTTTTAAAATTACTATTACTTAAATTATTTAGTGCATGTTCAGTATTTAGTGCATATTAAGAAAATTTTAAAATTGAGAAAAATTGAGAAAAGGTCTATTCGATAAAATTAACTATTTTAATAGCTGTTAGCTATTTTAACGGCGTTTAGTTATTAGATGTTTAAATAGTTTTTCATAAAAGCTAAACTTTATATGAATTAACTTATTTAAACTTCTAAACGTTAGTTTAAACGCTATATTACCGAATAATATAAAAAATAACATTTAATCAAAACGTTAAAAGCTACTTAAAAAGTCATGGCCGAACATAGCCAAAATCTTATTACCTAAGTCCATCATATATAAATTACACAAGAACATAATAAAGGTTAATAAAGAAAGAGAAAAAAAATGAAAATAACATAAAAACTTAGCTTTTTGAGAGAGTGGATAAAATAATGGGTTAGTTGTACCTTCATTTACCCCCCAAACGGTGTTAAATAATTACAATACAAATTGTTCTATAACAGTGAAGAGCATAACATAATACTATGTTAAATTGTGTAAGTAATCACTTAATTAGGAGAATTTTGTTGTGGTCATAAAAACCTAATTTATTATAAATTGATTATTTAGTTTTAATTTTCTTTTAACTAAGTCTAGTTCATCATTTTGACTCAATAGACAAAAATGACATTATAGGATAATAGAGGTAGCTTTTTTTCTTGACTCATCAAATTGGTGACCATTTTTTTGGTTGAAATGACTTAAAACTCGAGATCTTTTACTCTTCATATTAATGAAAAGACTAACCAAATCACATCCGATTGACAGTTTAACGGTGAGAGTCCCAATTTAGAAAAGAAAAAGAATATAAAAAACAAAACTTGAATCACGACGGAAATCTTGGGCCCTTCGCTTGCTTGAAACCGATTGAATCAAGACTAGAACTAAAATTAGTGTTACCAATTGTACGAAAAAAAAAAATATCTAGCTAAGAAAATATAATTTCCGCCCTAGCTGGAGCTACCAGATAAATCCTACTCTACAGCAGATATAGACTTGCTACAAAGTAAAATACAAGTCAAATAATGCCTAGTTAGCTAGCACTTTGATAGAAACATTACCTCGTAATCGCAAATTGATTAGGAATCACTTGAATCTCTATATAAGAGGCCTCCATCTACCTACAGTGATCAATCCCTAATTTCACGGCAATTCTCTTATACTGCAGATATTCCATCTGAGCGCCTGGAATAATTTACACACTGATCATTGCTTCCTACTATTATCTACTTAAAAAATAGATCTAATATCCAATATCGACCTTGGGTTATCAATTTCTTTAATTAGAGATTAAGAAGAAGAAGAATCAAAATTTTTCTCTGCAGTCTTCACCATGCTTGATTCATAAATTTGTACCTCACTTAATACCACTTGAGAACCAATTTTGATCCCAATTCAAAAATTAGAAAATCTTGAACCGTCAGTTCATTGAACCAAAAATATTGAATTCAATAAACTGGTAGGCCTAATTGCCTTCAAATTTTATTATACATTTAATATAATAATTTCTCCATTCACAGTATGCATTAGATTGATTGCAGTTATCTTCTTCAGACTTCTTTGAACTCTTTCTCTCAGCTCTTTCTTTGCCTCTATAACCACATCTATCTGGAGTTAGCCATTATTGGTGTTTTTAATGCCAAATCTGACATTTCACTGCTTGTGCAAGCCATGATCTATCATATATTGCTTCCCTAATAGAGGATTGCCAAGTTTTCATGCAGGAAATTCCATTATTTCCAAGCTTTAAGTGAATCAGGTACTTCATACAATCTTAAGAGCTGTTGTTTCTATGCTTGATGAGAATAAATGGAATCTCGTTCTTCATTCATTATGTGATAACATAATTAAATTTCTTGAAAAATTGAGAAAAAGCAAAATGGAATGCAATTTTCCTTTTATTTCTATTTCTTAATTTTAAGAATTCAACTCTCATTATTATTATTATTATTATTATTATTTTTACTCTAGCTATTAGATTCTTCAATGGGTGGAACATATCTCATATTTATTAAAATTAGAAATTCTAATACAGTAAATTCCTATTTATATTACATGTTTCTTTATATATCAGAAAATGAATACCTTTTTACCCTTAACTAATAATCATTTAACATTTGAAATTTATCAATCAGATATTCATAAACTATTAATTATTATTAACAACTATACTAAATATATCCGATCCTTCACTCGTAATCAAATTGTATAATTAAGAAAATTAAATAGGCACTCCTCATTTATTTTTATCGTTCAGCTCTTTGACAATATGAAAAAACCAAAATTATAATTGCACTAAATATTTTTTAAACAATAATTTATCTATAAAGAAACATAGTAAAAAGAAAACAACTTTAAGATTTTTTAAATTAATTATTTTCTTATATAATAATACTATTTATTTATTTAGATTAGAAAAAAAATAAGCTTTTAGTTCATGACTTTTTTAGTATAATTAAGGAGAACATGTAAATCAAGAAAGAATATATGGAGAAAGTGATTTAACGAAATAAATAGTTGAACAGTGACATCGTGATTAGCAGAGGCAGACATTAGATGGCGAAGATGAAATTAAATACGCAAACGCTCAGAAACTTCTGGTCTTTCGGTTGAGAAAGACCAGTCATAATCAGATAAAGGTCCCTCCCATTCATATTTAACATATGATAATTTTAGTTTTTTTTTTTCCCTTTTCAGAAAAAATTTTTTTTTTTGAATTTGTCAAATATTTTATTTATATGATGTCATAATAATTTCCACCTTCCTCTGGACCAATTACGTTTTGGTCAACTGACTTTGAATTAATTATAGTTTTTGTTCTTTTATTTTTATTTTTTGAATTTGATAAGGGATATAAAACCCAAAAACTGCAAAGTAATTTAAATAGCATTAGGAGACACAAACCATGCACATCATTAGAATCATAATTATGTCTGATCTAAATGTAACTAAACATGTTCCAATGCCCCTAAATTTTATAAATATTATCTATTAACTCCCTAAAAGAATTTCTATTTGTCGACATTAAGCAATTTAATTTTTATTAAGTAAAATACATTTGAATCCTTTAACTATATGCTATTTAACATTTGTTCATCCCTCTCCTTTTAAAAAAATGAATATGACATCTCTTACCTCATTGTCAAGTAGTGATAAAAGCAAGACAATTGTTTTAGAGCATCGGCCGGCTCCAATTAGTTAATGAGAGTACGGATAACTGTAAATGAGTTTGGTATAAGTAACTATAAATGGGTTTGAGATTAGTACAAATAGTGAAATTATCATCCATAATAAATGTCAGTACTTCAACATATATTTAAATAAGTTTGGCACAAGTAATAAAACTCTAAAACGGATATGAGTACGGATAATTCAAAATTCATTGGTACCTGGATTATTTTCATCCCTAGTATTAACCCATCTAAAAATTAAAGTCATTATAGTTATTTCTTGAAAACAGATAGATGAAAGTTAATTAGAACATAATTTAGGAACTCAGATACATTTACTTAAAATTATTAAGTTAAAAGATGTCATTTTAGTCTTTTTCTTTTTAATTTATAGTAAAAGCTAACTTTTTAGATAGGACATGAT